GAAGAAAATTTAGTTTGAAGTAAATTATTTGATAACATACAAAATGTTATAAATTTCTTTAAAACTATACCACTTTTCCCTTATGAAATGTTCACAATCCTAATTATGTATTTTTATAAAAGAAACAAAATACTTGTATATCACTTCTTTGTTACAGCATTTGTATTACATCTAGATATTATACGTTATTACAGATAATTAAAAATAAATGACACACAAACTAATGTAAATAATATTATATCAAAAAAAATATCTGACAAATTTTTATTTGAATATTCATTCAGTATTTATTTTCTATATCCCACTAATCATCAATTTAAATACAGTCAAACCTCAATTTAGTGCCATTTGTTTACTTCTGAAATTGGTTCTTAATTGAAGTACCTCAAACAATAAGAATTACATGTACTGTAGTAATGAGGTCTATGTCAAGTTTTAGTTCAAAAGCTTGAGGGTCATGTGATTTAGTGATAACAATGTTGTTTGCAACGCAAAAGATTGTACATTTTGTAATTCATGGATACAAAAATTCTCAGTTTAATATTTACGAGATCCATTTATGAGTATTTATTGGTGCAAATTAAGAGACTATATTGTTTTAGTTTTTGTGAATTTCAAATTAATTCATACGTTTACTAAGAGAAGATAAAATTTTGCAAAACTACCCACTGTTTCAGCTGATAACACTTTATAGATTTAAAAAAAATATCTATGAAAATTAATTATAAATTGCATCTATTTTTTGGACTTTTACAGTACAGTAATATCTCAACTTACATGAACGCGGAGTTACACGATTTTCAAATCTCATTGATTCGTCTTTTGTTAGAGCACCATGCAACTCTTAATTACTCACTCCCCCCATACTATTGTTCAGCTTACATGTTCGGACGTGTCGCATGGAATCAACACATAGCTACAATTTATTCTGTTTGTTATAACTACAGAGACTTGAGAGACTCTATGTGATGATTTCTTGTAACCATAAACGAATCAAAAGATGAGATAAGATTAACCAGAACATTTATTAACTTACATACATCCAATTTGGATTTTACACAAATTGCGTATTTATACCCCGACTCATGCGAATTCGACTTACACAGTTATTGCTCGGTCCCACCTATCACGTAAGTTTGGGGTATTACTGTAATGAACTATAGATACATTGAAAATAAATTGTAGTAGGTATCAACTGAAAAGGAGCTGATGATAAAGCAGAGAAATCTGTTTTTGTTACATTTACAAAAAACTTCATCTCAATTAATTTATGTTGGGAAAATATCACTAAATTGTGTTTGCCCTATAAAATTTGTTATGAAACACAAGTTCAAATGAAAGTTAACATACTTTTGACTACTAAAAATAAGATAATTAACAAACCATTTACTGATTTGCTAAAAATTTTCTTCTTTTTAATTTATAATGCAGACAACCTGTACATTTTAACATAGTGTAATTTTTTAATTTAAAAGAAAAAGACTAAAATTGCTGATGTAAAAACTAACTTGACAAATTTGCAAAAACTTAACAACAAAAATAACTAGGCTATTGTAAATTTGTTATCAAGTTTTTAAGTTTCCCTTCCCACATTTTTTGTTGAAATTTTGCTTTTGTTTTAGATAATGACCAGAAAAAAATGAATTCCACGTTTTAGAATATAAAAGCAGTTTTTTTGTCATTTGTAATCAACATTCAAACACAGAAAAGATTTTTTCATTTAGAATAAAAGTAAACTGCTACATTTTATCCATACACAAAGAACAAAAATCTGTATGAAAACAGTGTGCTGCTACTAGTATACTTTCAATTCATATAGTTATGAAAAAGGGGTACTAGTAGAACATAGTTTTTGTTAAATATAGGAAAACTGTGCTACTAGTACTTTCATACACTTGTATTTAATGCTAGTTATAAAAATACTAGTAGCACAAGTTTATAAAAATAAAATATAAGTAAGTGAATATATTTCTAAGCATGGAAGATCATTTAGTATAAATGTTAATAAATGGAATGGCTGACACTTAACAATGCATTACTAGCATCATTTTTATTTACAATATAAATAAATAAATTAAGATTTCACTACACTGAAAATTAAAAACAATATAATATAAATGTATATTTTGAATTTGGTGAGATTTTAATGAATTTATTCATTAACTGTGAAAAAATTTAAAACATTTAAGAAATTCCATAAAAATTCTTTTTAAAAAAAAACAGAGATTTATTTACCTAACGTTTTCAGGCAATGTATTTCAACATATACTGCCTGAAAACATTATGCTGTTTCACCTATCTTCAACGATAGGTGAAGAAACAGCATTTAAAAAAATATTAGGTAAATAAATTTTGTTGCTGAAAGCAGTCTTTACAAACTTCTTAAATAGTTATTAATATAAAGAGAAGGAAAAAAATATATTTAACACAATATTAGTTGTTTAATTGAGTAAAACATGAATTCATTAAGGAAGATTTATAAATATTTATGATATGCTAAGTTTTAGATTTGAATGTGATTAAATTTTATGATTGAAGATTACAGAATTTTGATTTAGAGACAAAATACAAATAAAGATTAAGATATTTTCCTATAATGAAAAGTTAAATTCCATACTAAATTGAAAAAAAAAAAAATGCTTCTGTATATTTATATTATGATTTAAAATTGAAAAATATTTCAGTAGAATTTTTATAGTATATAATTTTTTCATTGCTTCATGAATACTTATTCATTATTTTGTAATAATTTGCAATCCACTAAAGATATCAATGACATAAATTAATCTTGAAGTAAGTTTATAAATTATTCTAAATATTATTTATATACTTAAATTACTTTTAATTAATGAAATTTATTCAAAATCAAAAACAAAATATAAAATAATCTGAAGAAGTAATTATATATTTGAAAAATATTATAAATTATATAAATTATCTCATATTATAAATGACTATGTACAGTATATAATTATAATATTGCTGCTATATGTTGTTACAATTTAAAAATTCCCAAATTATATCATAAAACAATGGCTTTACTAACATGTAAAGTAATCATTAGCAAATCAGCATTAATAAAATGAACTTAATTAACTATTGTTTTTTAACCCTTTGATAACCTAACATTTTAAAGTATTAATTAAGAATCCCTTTAAGGCAAAGAACATTTGAAAATGTTACTCTGTTGAATTAAATATAAATGAAATTTGTGAATGCAAAATTATGCATGTACAATTAATCAATCATAATGTACATTAAATTATTGTAGGTGATACATAATAGATATAAGATATATTTTTGTGTTTAAGCAAAAGCATGATTATAAAAGTTCACTTGGCAAGAGAAAACATTTCTAAATTTCTTATAGTCACAGCAAAGACCTGCCCATCAGAAGATTAAGATACATTTATATTTCGGTAAAACAGCAATAAAAAAAAAAATGCATCACCTTTTAACAAGCTAATGAAAATAGTTTTACAATTTTTTTAAAAATTTGTATTATGATATAGTTCTCAAGTCAACAGATTCCAATCTAAAAGATTTCAGAAACAAATGGACCAACAATTAATGATACCAAAACACATTATTAGCTTTTGACAAGCATTATTTCAGTCTTGGTTAGGTTATTTTAACATCCATTATGTTTTGAGTCATGTACACAAAATAATTATTTATATTGGTTATATTATATAATTTATTGGTTTTTCTAATGACTTTTGTACTTATTATTATTTACATTGCTCAAAAATTACAGATAATTGACAATTAAGGACATGCTTCCCTATAAATCTGCTAAATTGTAGGTCATCTGTACTTTCAGTAAGCATAACAAATTTATTTTAATCAATATAATAATAAATTTCTTTAAAAGTATATTAATATAAACAAAATTATTTTCCTAAATCTGATATCATCAATTTGTTAAAGTTATGTTCCAATCATGTTTCTCCAAAGATAACTTCATTGTAAGAAAATGTAGAGAAGTTTAACTGATATAAATACAAACCTATTACAGTAAAAATTAGAAATTACTTTATGTAAATCATTTTAGAATCTTTATATGATTTTTAATTATTTAGAAGTAAGAAAAACAAGGCATCATTAGTTTTAATTTTCTAAAATTTCATATTAAAAGGATCCTTTTTTAGATGAATCTGCATACTATATTTATCTTCAGGATACAATGTACAAAACTGCATAAAGATGAATTTTTTATAATCCAAAAATGGTTTATTTTTCTAAAACTAAAAATTCTGACATAAGTAATATATTGTCTTTTTTTATTTTATTAATTTTAGTCTATTGGAACTATAAACTATTAATAAGATTTACTATAATGATTTAACTTGCAGATAAAATCGACAAGTTAAATCAGTATAATAAATCTTATTAATAGATTATAATCATAATCGATTAAAATATTTAAAAGATTAGAAGCATTAATTAATTAATGTGTTGTCTTGTTTCTTTTTTAACTGTAATTCATTCTCAATAAAAATTTTACTTGAAATATTTAATATTGATTATGTTTATGATAAATTTAAAATATTTTGTTTTTGAAAATAATTTAATTTGATAATCACATTTGTTTCACGAGCATAAATACAATTCAAATTGAAGTGAAAACTTTTAACAAACTCAATTATTTTCTAGCCTTAACATATCCCATTAGAAGTCAAAAAGGAAAATAGAGACCAAGATAGATAATACATTCTACATCTTTTCTTTATTTTTTCTAGTTAATAATGGTGGACATAAAGCTTGAAAATCCTTTACTAATTTCCATAAATCCTAAAAATTGTTTTCTTTTCTAATAAAAATAGAATTTATAAACTGCTTTTAAGAAAAAATTATATTTATCACATTTATTTTTGGATGCTTTAATGATTTTCATTTTAAAGTTTATGAAGATGAGCATGTAAGAGGTTTAAAAAAATTATATCTATTATTATATTTTTCCTAAAATGTAGATTTTTTGATATTTTATAAATACTTACCTATTATAAAAGATAGCGTTACTTTAATAATGCATAGGCGATTTGGACGAATGACAAACTTTGAAGTTTTCTTGATAATTTGAATTATACGAATGACTGCAAAAGGAAGAAATGTCAGCAGTAATAATATGTGTATAATTGCTATGTATCCAGCCGCTTCAATGTGTGGAGGTCTTCGAAAGAATGTGTCTAATTGATCACAATCTATGATTATGTGCTGACCTTTTCGAAAACAGAGATTCCAGAGACCATAATGACCAACTTCTTCTTGATTTCCTGAAATTAAATTTAAAAAAAATAAATTAGTGTAGATTATTAATAAATTTTATTCAATAAATTATATTTCATATTTCACAACTACTAAAAAATTTTGTAATTCTAGATTGTATTTAATAATATTGAAAAAGTATATAACTTATTTATTAGAAGACAATCTGGCATTAAAAGAATATAATTAATTGTATAAAATTAAAAATAAAATAATAAATTTATTTACAATTTATAATTATGTCTATTATTAAGAAATATTGTAAATTTACTGACTGAATTGAATTTGTTAATGAAAGATACCATGCTACTATGAGCTTTATAATTTGATTCAAATTTGATTATATTGCAGCACATATGACTAAAAATTATCTTCTGGCTTTTAAATGTTTGAAATTTTAAAATAATTTAAACATATTGTTCGATGCATTCCATATTTGAAATGTACTAGTCAAAAGCCTGAGGAAGACCATGATTATGGTCAAAAACATTAGTTTTAATTACAATTTGTTGTTACTGGGATATAATGGTTACTGGGATATCTCATGGGTTAATTTGATTCAATTTTCTCTATCTAAAGTGGGTGATGAGATCAATTACTATAAGTAAAGGATGGAGAACAATGCTTGGATTGAATTTTCCGTTTAAAAATAAAAAAAAAATTCAGAGTACTGTCTTAAGTTACACATGTATCATCATCATATTGAGAATATCAAGAGATATGAATTTGTTCAATGAATGAATCTGTATCATACAAGCACTTAATATATTCATATTACTCTGCCAGTGAATCAAAACTAACTATTCAAACTCACACTTCTCATAGTGCTAAATGAATATCTTACTGTGTAACCATTTGTCTAATTTGTATAAATAATTTATATGTTTAATATTTTCAATAACAATTTCTAATTCTCTTTCATTTAATACTAGTAGCCCGGGATGCCCCCTAGTGGGCGTTCTTTACCATTTTCCATGAGGCACGGTTCCTTTGACTTTTTTGTTCCTATCAATATGCTCNATTTTAATATCTAAATAAAATTTTATTAAGTTTGATAACATGAAATTTTTAATATTTTTTAAATACAAATTTATTAAATATTAAATGCAATTCTAATCCAGCATTTTTCTGGTCTGATTCAGAGGATAAAACGTATAGTCTTATGTTACTATCAAAGTCATCAATTGCTGAGTCAATAACTTATTACTAGATGAGAAAGCTTTACTGTACTCTAAATACCATCATTGGTACAACTATTTATTAAAATATTCAAGTAATAACCAATTACATGTGTACTAAAACTTCTCTTCAAATAAAAAAAATCTTTTATGTAACAGACTTCATATCTATTATTTTAATACAAATGATAAAATTATACTGTTGATAGGCAGATGTAAATTTTGCAATGTTCATATATCTATATTCCATATATTGTCTGAATGAAACAAATTGCTTATATGTAATAATTAGAATTTATTATTATTTTTTGGTTATAAATTTCTCTGTTAGTTCTATAATTTTTAAACTTTCTATTTCGTATTGAAGAAAAATCTAAATTGTACTTTTTCTGATTTTTCTTTCTACATATGGTAATGGAAAGTAGAATATCACTATTTAATTAATATAAAAATTTGTTAATGACAAATTCAAACTATTCTAAATCATGAGCACATATTCTATACTTTTTAAATTATAATCTGTTTAAATATCCTAATGTATTCATGTAAAACATGGTTGTACAATACAGCAAAACTTTAATTTAATGGGAGTAATTTAGGCAAGAGGTTTCTGCTAAAGCCAAAAGTCCATTGTTTAATAAAGTAGGTTTTCCAAATGCATATATTAAAAAATATATTGCTTATGTACTCACTGTATTTCTGAGACTGTAATAAACAAGTGTACAATCTAAATCAAAATACAAAAATAAATATTTTTTGGAAAATACACTTTATGAGCAGTGACTCTTAGATTTGAAAAATATAATAACCTGTTAATTTAATTACATATAAAAAAGCATTTTAAAATTAACAGGGTGTTAATTTTCACATATGACATGAATCCAAAATTTTGAACATTAAATCAAGGTTTTACTGTTTTATCAATTTTGATGATAATTTTATTTAAATATAACTGAATAATTATCAAATTGATAGATATTATATAAATTCATAAAATAAATGTAGGTTGCTTATTTGTACTTTTACCATAATTGTAAGATAACTGTAAAAAACTGCAGTATTTATCTGCCAATTAAGAATCTAATTCAAATTGTTTTCTTTAGAAGGAAAATTTAAAATATTTTAAAGCTTTTGAACTATTTTTGGCCATTGTAAGGGGTCCTAGTCTTAACTGCTTTCAATATTACTGAAGTTTTGGTATCAAATAGCAGATGCTTGAATATGCTTATGTTGCATATTCAGGCATTTGACTGCATGTAAGTGTAAGTGCATAAGAGACTAACATCCAATATATTTATGCAGAGTATGACTTTGAATATGCACTTAGAGCTGCCGAAAACTAATGCTAGCACACCCAATAACATCAAAGGCCCTGTACTTTCTTCGCAGCTGTACAGTTTTACCTTTGCTAGCGCAATGATACAAGCATATGCTCGTTGTTGAATTCTATCAACAGTGAGCATATGCTCATATCACTGTACTAGCAAAGGGAAAACCATGCGGCTGTAAAGAAAGGAATGAGGCTTTTGATGTCATCAGGTGAGCTAGTGTTTTGCTCTCACAAAGCGCTAGTTTGTGGTGGCTCTTAAGTCTTCTGTTACCTTTAAATACCAAAACCTGATAAGATTAGATATTCAGAAGTCAACAGCAGTAAACAAGTTCATTTATTGACTATTAATGATGATAAAGCCTAAAAGCAATGGAATTTGTAAGAAACTTTTTTCTGACAGAAGTACTTTGAATCAGATTTACACCTGAGGAATTTCCTTAACAAGTGTGTAACTTGAGAATAATTTCCTAAAGTTGAAAGTCCGCAACAACAAATCAAATTTTAGATCATACATATACTCAAATTTATTTTCATAAGACAAACAGTTTTATACTGGAGAACAAAGACAATAATTTAATTTCAAAAGAGACTCACAATCATCATAATTTCAGCATAGAAACAGTGCTATCAGTCTTATGCTACAGCATAAGGCTGATAGCACTGTTTATAGTAACAAATTAATGAAATTAGTACAGTACATCATTTTTCTCATTACAAATATGTTATTATATACTTACCTTACTGACTAAAATTTGATATATTCTTACTAAGTATTAGAATCATGATAGAAATTTCTTACCTCGATCTTTTCTAGCTGAATATTCTCCCCAATGAGAAGAAGGTAATATAATTATTTGAAGTAAGAGACTTAAAAGACATAGCAAGATTGCACAGACTGGAAATATTGCCAGACTTCCCCACATTCCGACATTTTTTAAAATCTGAAATTAAAATATATTTCTTTAATAATTTGTTAATTGCTTCTTTAACAATTCAATAATTCAAAGATATAAATTTAATTCTCATTTTAAAACCTTTATTATTATTAATTTAATCAAAATTATGCATTAATACCATTAGTTAGTAGATAAAATAATTAATTTTTTCAATAATTGTTAGATACAACTGCATGCAACATCGATACATGACTGTAATAAACATACTAGTTTGTTTCCATAGAAACAGAATGGAAAAGAGAAAACATATTAAGTAAAAATTCAATTCCAAAATGAAACAACAATAAAGAATATTGGTAAATGCAATTTTTATTAATTTAAAATTAAAATTAATTTTATTGAAAACTAAACTTTAATTTAAGATATTTTCTTGCAATCAAAGTAATTATCTAAAAGAAGCAAATATTAATTTATCTAAATCTAAGAAAGCTGCAATAATGCAATTTTAATATCTAAATAAAATTTTATTAAGTTTGATAACATGAAATTTTTAATATTTTTTAAATACAAATTTATTAAATATTAAATGCAATTCTAATCCAGCATTTTTCTGGTCTGATTCAGAGGATAAAACGTATAGTCTTATGTTACTATCAAAGTCATCAATTGCTGAGTCAATAACTTATTACTAGATGAGAAAGCTTTACTGTACTCTAAATACCATCATTGGTACAACTATTTATTAAAATATTCAAGTAATAACCAATTACATGTGTACTAAAACTTCTCTTCAAATAAAAAAAATCTTTTATGTAACAGACTTCATATCTATTATTTTAATACAAATGATAAAATTATACTGTTGATAGGCAGATGTAAATTTTGCAATGTTCATATATCTATATTCCATATATTGTCTGAATATAAATAATATCAAGAATTAAGATTAACTAAGGATCTTATTTTTTATGGAAGGATTTTTTTTAGAAAAACATGTTTGAATATTTAGCTACAAAAAATATAAAATATGTAATAAAAATATTTATTTTCTTAGCTGAAGCAATGAAAAGATTTGAATAACCAGTGAGGTTCTAAACTAATAATTTTTAGGTTTGGTAATTAGATTCCTTCCCCCTTTCTTTTTGCCTAGGATAAGATTTGATAAAAATGTAATTGTTATTTATTTTTGTAACTTTTATAAATTTTTCTACTGCCAATAGATATTATTTGTTTACTAAATTATTTTGTATTAACCCTATAACAGATCTTTCCCTTTATGAAAGCAATATCAAATGTTTAAATCATACTATTTTTATAATTATAACTACAATTTTTAATTGTTGTTAGTTAACTTATTATTATTATTAGATGAAAATAGTGATATAGAAAATTTATTAATTAATTATATTTAAAAAAGAAGAAAGGAAAAAATATATTAAATGCAATTCTATTCTGAATCTAAAAATATTTATAGATTTTTTTTTTTCATTTAAGATGATAATGAAATGAAATTCAATTTAAATGGCACAGAAGTACTTGACCTACTTTTCCAAAATACAAGAAAAAAATATATTTATTGATAAAATCAGGAAGATAACTAAATAAAAAAAATACAATTTAGATTATTAAATATTCAAAATACAATATACATTTTTATCATATAAATACATTTTTAAATTAAATTTTATTACAAGATAGAAATGAAGTATTTCCAAACAGCATAACTTGTAAATCATAATTTTTTATGATTTACAAGTTATGCTAATAAATTTTTGTTTTTTGTATTAGATACTTAAAAAGAAAGGAAGATGGTTTAGTTTAAAATATGAAAATCCAATTATATAATAATAATAAAATAAATTTTAAATTCTAAAAAAATTAAAAGTAAACAGCTTCTGTTTACATTATCATCATCAACCGATTTGATAAACTTATATTACTTAATTATTGCATTTATACATTAAAGAAAAGCGATCTGAGTATTTTTCTGAGCCTTGAGAACGTTGTTGTAAGGTGTTTACTGTTATAAAACGTAGCGTAACAACGGTTATGAGCAGCATTTTATATGATTTTGACACAGACACATACATACATAAAACAGGAAAGAATCAGATTTGAAAACTAAGGTCGTTGCCTTTAAAATAATCAGTTCAATCACCTAAAACAGACGTCGATTCATAAAACCATCTGGTCCATTAAACACCATCTGCTTCTTATGCCCTTCGATATAGAAGACGTTTGTCCACTTACACGTCACACCTTGACAATATAATCTATTACCAATTTGTATACCTTCCACATCTCAATAATTAAATCCAATATCTACCTCGTGTCATCTAACACATAACTGAATTCAAATAAACAATAAGCATGCATCCACGTTGTCCAATAACCACGCCCTCTAGTGCATTATAGAAAATGATTATTTTTACGTAATTTAAAAAAAATTACTTCTATTTTTTTCGATAAATTCAAACGAGAAAAAAATATATAAAATATTCAAAGATTTACCTTTCAAATAAATGGTAAGTTATTATTAAATTCAGTATATTCATCGTAACCGTTGTTCGATTTACTGACCATCCATTGTTGCTCTTCCTGTTACCATGGTGACTTCCCGCCGATGTTGACTCGGTCACGTGCCCCGAACCGGTTATGCCGATTTATGTCATAAAATGTCCGAAAAATTCGCTTAAAATTAAATACATATATATATTTTTTAATAGTAATTAAATTACAATTAGCAATACTAATGACGTATTTTATTGATTTTTGGATTAATTAATCGATTTAAAAATGATTTCGAAAATTTAAAATGCCCCATTGGACGTAAAACTAGTTCAAAGAATGTAGGTCGTTATTAATCAGTATTCGTCATAACAACTAATGTTATACTTTTATGTGGGATGAATATATCTTGGGGATAACTTGCCTAATTTGGAAGTTAAGGTTTTTAATAAGGGCAAAATATTCTTGACTTTTATCCATATCCAGTTCGTTGGCATAGGGAAGACCCAGAAAATAAAATAAATTAAAAAAATAGCTAAAAATATCTTGAAATTACCACGATTTTAACCAGTAATAAGCACATATAATAATTTATAATAACTATATTTATATATAAATAAGAAATTTTAATCATTAAAGAGGTTATCTTTGAATTGAAGATATATAAAATAATTAATCTAAAATTTATATAATTAAATTTACGTTTTAATTAAAATGTGAGACGTTTTAAAAGATTTTATAGGTTATAAAATAATTTTTTAACGTAAAAAACAAAACATTTTTTGAATTGCAAACATCAAAAAATTTATATTAATTTGTATATAATATGAAGAATTTGGAGAGTTTTATTGAATTTTTTTCTTATAAAATACTTATTTAACTGCGAAAATTAAAAACATTAACTAAATTCATATTTTAATTAAAATTTGTGAATTAAAAACAATTTTTTTCCATAAAAGTAGTAAACTGTTTAAAGTTTTAATGTAAAAAATTTATTTAAAACATTTAAAATTTATACTAACAAACATATAATATATGACATTAAGTAATTTGAATATTATTTTATCCAGAAAGACCAATTTAAAAAAAAAGGTCACGACCTTTGTGACGTAGGCGTGTCTAGCAAGGTAAAGATGAATGTCAAGGTGACACGTCACTTAATATTTCTTTTATTTATTAATTTTATTGTCGTTTGCCATCTGCTTTACAAACATTTATCGAATCGATAATTAATTTAAGATACTAAATATCTTTAAATTAAAATAGAAAATTTCATTTGCAATTCAAAAAGTTTAGATATAATTATTAAAAACGATATAAATATGTTTAATTTATTAATATTACATTTTTAATACTTTAAAAATAATTAATTTTTAAGTTATTATTTGTTTATTTAAAAAAATTATAAAGAAATAAATAAAAGATGGAAACGTTCTATTTAACATTTATGAATCAAAATTACATGAATTATTATTAATTAAAATATATTTCTGGTTGGTTAATCATGCTTTTTACTTTAATTTATTATTATACATTTTTATTTTAATATTATAATAGTATTTAGTAACAAATCAGGAAAATTTATGTAATTAAATCGAGATAAGTATAATAATATTCATACTGACCTAAATGTAAATGATCACTCTTTTACATTTTCCTACTTCCCTTCTTTTAACACAAATATTTATTTTATCATGTCATTAAATTTATAAAATACTAAATACATAAACAATTAAGAAAGAAAAAGGATTTTTAAATATGTAACAAGAATAGGTGACAAAGAGGCTCCATCTGTTATCGAAAAAGCAAACAATAAATGATATGAATAATTCTATTATAAATAAATAAAAATTATTCGTTTATTTTGCTTCTTTTTTTAAATACAATTTATTAATTTTATTTACAATTAATAGATCTACTTTTACATTTTGAATTGATCTTTAATTATATGAACAACATATTAAATTCTGTAAGCACTGTACATACGTTAAGAACCAATAAATATGACTTTATAAGTATTAATTTTAAAGTAGTATAATTTGTGAAGTGCTAAAGAAGTATACGCAGCTGAAAAAATAAAATAAATAGCTAAACAACAGCTTGAATATGCAAGAAAGTGGCTCCATCTCTTATCGATAAAGAAAAATACAAATGAAATTACTGTATTTAATTTATTACAATAAAAATAAAATCTCTTCAGAATTAATAAACTTATTTTTTGCAGTTTTTAATATTAGAAAGAATAAATAAATAAATTATATATATATATCATTTAATATTAGTGTGCATAATTTGGTTTTAATAAATTTTCTTTGGTTCATACTAAATTCCTCTGCAGTTGTTGAATGATTTCAAATATTTTTTTTCGATTTATTATTTTTACGGAATCCTATTTTGTTGGCTTTAGAGATAAATTTCACACAAATTTCACGATACACGAATTTATCTGTGGGGGATGCAAATTATTTGTAGATGTTTACACTCTTCTCGACATGTCAAAATAAAAATGACCTGAAATATATACAATACTTCAGTAACGTGACAACATAGTGAAAATCATTACGTACAAACTCATCAATAACTTCAACAGTGTTTATTTGTGGTAGTCTACGTAAATTTGGTCGTACACGTAAATCGTAATAATATATGAATTAGTGAGAAGTGTAGAACTAAAAATTATTGCAATTAAATGTTTTAGAATACGTGTGATATCTCGCGGAGTTCGGACTTAATGAAAATTTTATTAGTTGTTAGCATTTAGAGGCTTTTTTTTTTTTTAAGAAACTCATCTTTACCATCAAAAATTAAATAATTTTCTATTTTATAACAATTAAAAACATATAAAATTTATATAACAAATTTTCATAACAGATGGTGCCACATACCAATTTATTTATTTATTTTGATTAATAATACAAAAGTTATTTTTAAAATGAAACGTCATAACATTGCAAAAAATTTATGAAGTGCGAATTTATGTATTACTTAACATTTTTAATTCGAAGAAATTGTATTAACAAACAATACATTTATGTTTTCCGACTTATAATAAAAATATCAATGTGCTTTTTTGCTCCAGTTACATTATACAATACATTCAATGGTGTACCTTTATACAGGCTTCAAGCACAGTACAAAACGAATTTATCTCTCGATTGTTAAACGACTGCAAACAGCAAGTCTTAAACGTAAATTAAAACTTTAAAAGTCAGGAAATTCAAGATAAAATGCAAGTATATCTTCTTTCTAGAAACGTAGTTTACTAATAATTTATACCATTTTTTTCTAGGAATGTTGTTTTAATGTTGTTTGTAAGAATTTTTAATGTAGTTAAATTAAGCAGAATTCATTGGGATACATCGTTTTATCTGGTTGACATTGGGGAGAAGTTTCTTTTCAACGTTTACATAAAAATCTCGAAACTAAATTCAGGCTTATAAGTGCAGAAAATCGTGCTAATAATTTGTGGATATAGTATAACAGCGATCAGACATAATTCAGCTGTCAACAGAGAGGTCATCGGATGCATGCGTGAATGCTGGGTTTCTTTGAATTTTGTAATTCATTTTTACCAAATAAACGTTCCAGTTTCAATTTTCAACACATGCCTTATATTATAACTAAGAAATGTCTTATAATATAATAAAATAGATAATTTGGTAAAACTGCTAATAAATAATNATCATAAAATAAACAAGGATAGTAAATATTTTCTATTAAAATATCGATAAAATGTTAAATATTTTCTATTAAAATATCGATAAAATGTTAAATATTTTTAAATAATAATTTTGAATAATTTATCTAAAAAATTTATAAAATTTATATGAAACATGTGGCTTATATTTTAAATTATTTTTTAAATCTTTATTATACTTTTAAATGTCATGAATTTATATGATTTTTTAAATGATTATTTTCATTAAAAATTAATAAATAAGCTTAAAACAAGTATAAAAATTTCGTAAGCTTTGTAAAAAAATTCTGTAAAAGTTCTTAAAATATTTGTGAAGTTTTTAAGTTAGTTGAATAATAAGTAATTTGATAAATTGGAGAAGTGTCAGCTAATTATCTTAACTAAAGCATATTTTATCAAAAAATATGACTTTATCCGATAATTAGGATTTAATTAATAGCAAGCTTCTGATTCTAAAAAAAACAGAAAAAAATGGAAACATTAGAAAAGTAATTTTTATAAAAAAATCAATTTTATATTCCTGTAAATCTTATATATTACAAGATTTTTTAATCATCAGAGTATATACTTTTTATATTTAAATATGAAATCAAATAGGATTTTTAGATGAAATTATATGTTTAAAATTGGAATTTTTATATGTAGTTTTGCCTAAAAATCTTTACAGTAGATGATTTATGCATTTAATTGTATAATCAAAAAATGATTCTCAGATATTATATGCTTAAAATGGAAGTTTTAGACGCAACTATTTGATTAGATAATAATTTTTAGAGAAAATAAACTTTTTAAGACTGTAATATAGCAATTTTTTTTTGTTTGATATTCTACTACACATTCGCTTCCAATTAACAAAGTGCATAGACTTACAAACACTCGGAAAAATGGGATTCATTTAAGATTCAAATTTATTAGAATTTACGACGATAATTATAACGTACAGTCAAGTATAGCACGTGGCTCTAATTGTGTAATTGACAAATTTGGCACTAATAATGATTTTGCGCGTGAAAATCGAATTATTATCACGTTCGTAGGCACGAATTTAAGCAAATATAAATTAATTAAAATTTAATATTTTTCAATTATTTATTCCGTTTTCAATGAATTTAGCCTAATTAAGATTTCACGTGCCAATTTTATATATTTTTTTCTGAATAAATAAGTTATAAAATCTAAAAGAAATCTATCCGCGAAGTAATCTGTAGATGTAATTTACTTAATTTTTTTTAAAGTTATAATTATTATAGTTAGTTACTTTATTAATATAGTTGTTTTATTATATTTTCTGTATGTTGTCTGTCCAAAAGTACACAAAATCTAAAAGATTACATAAATTTTGCAAGAACCGCCAGAGACTAATCATTTGTAAGTCTTGCTTCGTCGAACAGGAGATGTATATACACATGTTGCAGCAATGATAAGTTGATAACCATAGTAATTATGAAGTATTAAAGTATGTAAATGTTTGTATAAGTTTAGCATAGAATAATCTAGATGTTACCAAGTTTACAATCGTAAAATGCATCAAGTAAGTTGCAGCTCTTAAAAATTTTTGATACTTTTAAAATTTCTACTTTTATTAGTTTTTATCGCGTTGCAAGAATATAAAATATGCATTTTTATGATTTTATTTTATAGATTATAGGCTTATATACAGCTTTAATAATTACAATTATATGAAAATGCCAGAATCTTATCCAGAAACCTTAGTTGTTATTGATCTGTTTTGATCCGAAACAAATCGCATAAACCATAATGAGATTACATTATCTAGCTACATAAACATATTTTAGCCACATGATCTCGTATCTCGTAAAGAAATCTTTTTATTTAATGATAATCATCGGTAATTATCGAGCAATAATCAATCTTAATAATTAATTATTTATTTTATATTTACTGTATTTAGAAAAAAATTCGTAATGTCTGGCATAAGATTCGTAACATGCGACGTGCTTCATCATGGCTGTTTGTATATCATAAATATACATATTATAGAATTTTAACACGTTAATTTGATCATTATGAAGCATACAATGTGTTGTAGCATTCAAAATTCTTCTAAAAAAGCTTTATAAGTGCCAAAACATTCAAAAATACTCGAACGTCATTCTGAAGGGTAGCTCATTGCATATTTTTTCTGTTGAAGATTTTCCGTTTTTAATGTGCTGTTGAAGATTTTCCGTTTTTAATGTGCACATTTAACAACTTCATAGCACATACATTAATTTATATTTAAAAAATAACATATTTAAGATATGGAATTTAAGTATTTTCTGTTATTTCTAATCCTCATGTGATGATGCGGCATAAATTATTATAATCGTCTATGGTATATTATAATGCAATGTGATATGGCTTTTAAATGTTCAACAAATTAATAAAATCCCGAAAGGTAATTAAAAAAAACCAGCTTTTGAGAGTCATTTGTTTATATATCATTAATTTTATTGCGATACATTTTAAGTAACTTATATAGAGTGGCCCAAAATGCAGTTAACAGGCATATAATAAGATGCAGACATCTTATATGCATAAGTTAACATCAGTTAACCGAATTTTGAAGCTGGTTAAAACAGGTTTTAAATGCTTTTAAAATAATTCGTGATTCGGTTAACCGAATTTAGAGTCAGCCTATATTTTTTTTTTTGTGTGTTTTTTAGATTTTTGATTAAAAATTACTGGTAATATGGCCCAATGGGTAATTATAAAAATAAATGGAATTAAATTTTGATTAAAAATAATTAAAATAGTTTCTTATAATATTAAAACATATATTAAATTTGATATAATTAATTAGAAAATAATTCATTATAACTCGTGTAATTTAATTAAAATTTTTGAACGGTAATAGATGGCGTTAGTTACCTTTTACACGTTACAGTGTAAATGCAAGAAAGTGTGCAAAATCTTTAATTATTTTCATAAATATTTAATTAAAAAGCACAATATTAAAGTTATTCTGCAAAAGATTTAATAATAAAAAATAAGTGCGAAATTTATTTGAATTTAGCTTTTTTTAATACCATTTTCATTAATATCTATTAAAAATATCAAAAATTCTATAAAATTAATTTTTAGTGGTATGTAAAAAAATTTA